TCTGGACATGTCCAAACCACTGTCCCTCCTCTGGACATGTCCAAACCCTCTCAGTGTGTCCTCTCTAACTTCATCTCCCAGTTGTTCAACCTGTGCTGTACCTCTGATGATCTCATTCCTGATCTTCTCCATCCTTGTCTCTCCTAAGGAGAACCTCAACATCTTCATTTCTGACACTTCCAGTTCTGTCTCCTGTCTTTTTGTCCATAAACTTTTCCTTTGACCTTTGCTGACACCCTTTTGTCACAAATCACTCCTGAAACTTTTCTCCATCCACTCCATCCTGCCTGGACTCTCTTCTTCACCTCTTCACCACACTCCCCATGTTCCTGGACAGTGGACCCCAAGTCCTTGAAGTCCTGCTCCTTTGTGACCTCTGCTCCTTGTAGCCTCACTGTTCCACCTCCTCCCTCTCATTCATGGACTCTGTCTTACTACGACTGACTTTCATTCCTCTTCTTTCAAGTGCATACCTCCACCTCTCCAAGTTCTCTTCCACCTGTTCCCTGTTCTCACCACAGGTCATCTAAAAACATCTTAGTCCACAGGGATTCCTGCCTGACCTCATCACATCCAATTCACTTTTTGTAGTTTTCTTTGCGTGAGGCTGCAGTCATTGAGTAAATGTTGAGTCAAGACCGTCTGCTGCTCAAACCACAAAAGCAAGTCATAAAATAAAAATAAAATAAGAAGGTATGCATCATTTTGTCTATTGTTGTCTTTGTTGTCATCACTTTTTGTTAAAATCAGGTCTCTCTTGTAAATGAGTCCCCGAGGCTCAATGGGATTAACCTGTATAAATAATGGTTGAATGAATTCATTATAATTCTTTTGTTCAATATTATTATTATCAAAATAAACTTCTCTTTAACTATATACATATACCTTCAAGACATTATTAACAAGTAAAAAAATTAAATACACACGAATTAAAAGGAAGATTAAAATGTATTTAAATTTCTGTGCTCGTGCCGCCACTGCAGCACACTTGGATTTAAAGGCTTGACAACTGAGGCGGAAGAATAAACCATATAAGGAAATCCGCTTATAGACCCGAATAATCACAAACAGAATCAATGACGCGACAAATAATTTAAATAAGTTCTAGACATTTTGCTCGGTGGACGTTATTTACAATTGTGTTAACGAATGTTTTTGCTTCTTTTATTCTGTCTTGATGATTTTTGAAAAACGTTACAGCTAATCTTTTATGGTACTATACGATTCTATCGATAATGATGTGTTCGGCTGCTCTTGCCTGTTTTAAGATGGCGCCGTAAAACCCCATGGCTTGTTTGGATCTAATCGTAAAGTATGCTCAAGTGCATTAACCGAACGGCCCACTTTACGAAGTGTCTTCAGTCAACAGGAAGCTGCGCTTTTATTATTCCAAAGTTTAAGTAAGTCCTACAAATGTTTCAGCTTTTTAATAAGTAATTACATTTAGCATGAAACGCGAAGCTGCTTAGCTACCGAACCAACGTTAGCGGTTAGCTTGCTTTTTAAGCCGGTTTGTTGACCTAGCTAACCTGTCGGGTTGCTAATCCTGTCACTCTTAGCTGTATTGCTAAACACTTTTTTGGTCGTTGTGGAACATTTTGTCCTTCAGCCGAGTTGTTACGTTTCCACAGAACTAGTCAGGTAACGTGTTTGTTGTTTGTGTTTGTTAACTTCTTGCTCTGTAGCAGCTGATGAGACAAGCTAACATGCTAGGTTTGCTTGTGTGAAAACATGGCAATGTTTATGCTCTGCACTTCTGATCACGATCAGAGCTCCTAGTTTTGTGTCCGGCAGCTTTAAATGTTCATTTTAAAACGCCAGAGATCTGTCGACTTTTTTCAAACGTGAGGTTCGTGATGCTGAAGCTACTCGAACTTATCCACCTGGTGCTGAAGGAGTTTACATTTAAGTCCTTTTTTTTTTCCAAAGTAAAAAAATATCTACTTTTCTTCCTCTTTATGCTTCATCAGATTTGAGTTTTGTCCACAGCAGTGATGACAGCTTTTATTCAATAGTTTTTGACTCCTTTTTCAACCATTTGCTGCCGAATCACTTCTCAAGAACTGAAACAGGTCAAATTTACAGTAGAGCTAAAAAGTCTACACACTTCTTAAGATGACAGGTAAAAACATTGAACCAAACAAATAATTTCTATAATGTTTCTCCATTTAATGTGACGCATCACATGCAGTTGAACTGAAATAACATGTTGCATATAAATATTTGAAACGTGCAATGAGCTGGCGTACACCATGAAGTTAATACTCTGGTGATCAGCCTCTGATGAAATACTTGGATCAGCAGCCCACACCTTGTCTCGGTAATATATGTCCTAATGTCCCTTTAGTTTGTCAGACTGTGAGGACGTCTCTTAAATCACCACACAGATCAGGTTGTAGATTTGTGACATTTAAACTTATACTTCCTGTGAAGTTATTTGACGCCATTATGGTTTAAATATATAATCTATAAATCTTGTGCTTTCTGGTCTAACACCTGAATGTTTTAGTCCAAAATAAAAACTGCTGCTGGCTAAAATCCCAGGTACAGGCGAAGAAAGGCAAGCCCACAGCATGATGCTGCCCCCACCGTGCTTCACAGTGAAGATGGTGATCTAGTCTTGTTCCAGAACCAAACATAACTTTTAGAATTGAAGATGAAAAGTTGGGCAGCAGGACGTTAGAAAAACTTGCTGTGTGATATTGTTTAAATTGGGATCAATTCACATTTCCTCACTCACTTTCTCGTCTGTCATCACCATCAGCTAAATCAGCTGTGAGGATCAACTTAATGCCCCATAAATTTACAACATTATTTTTGAATCGCTTGTATTGTTGTGTATATTGTTATTTATTGTACTCTATATGTTGTCTGTCTTAAACAGGTCTCTCTTGAAAATGAGTCGTTGTGACGCGATGAGACTAAATAAAGGTTAAATGAAAAACAAAGTCAAGGCCAGTGAGCATCTATTAGATTATCAGCAGAACATGAAAGAACGGTACTTAAAATAATAAATAAATAATGATAAATAATAAATAAATAATAATAATAAATACAAACACTTATAGCTGTTCAGCTTCATTTACTAGTGGGCAGCATATAAACATGACGGGTGTTTGAGAGCCACGGGCAATAGATTTTCAAAGCTTTTCATCAAAGACAGCAAATATTCTGTCTTTCAGTTTTGGGCTCAGAACATAGTCACTTCTGTTTGATTGTCTAAACTGGTCACAGTAGTTGGTGGTTTAGCTGCCCATTCTTACTGGAAAACCTGCAGAGAAAGAGGAATGGCCTGACTTGTAGTCTTCTCATTGGGATTTTTCATCACAGCGTATTCTTGCATTTTCTTCAGACAAGACGTTTGGGATTCTGCCTGCTTTGTGGTGGCCAAAGAAGCTTTCAAAAGGGCCTCATGTGGCCCGAGGGCCACATCTTGAATGGACCTGGTCTGGGATTTACTGCAGTCCTTAGTGATATTGATATTTTTTTAAGTTTATGCATTTATTGTGCAGATTTATTGAAATTTCCACCTTTTTTGAGCATTTTTGAGACTTTAAACTCTTAATGAAGCTTGACTTTTACCCCAGAGCAGAAGTGAGAAAATATGAAGAAAATCTTTATTTCAGTTCGCTCAGTCTCTTTAATTAATGGCAGGTGTACTCCTGAGAACACTGACAAAACCAGTAAGTGCTTCAACAAACCAGTTGTTTAAGGGTGTTCACACGTGTGCAAGCAGCTCATTTAATGTTTCCCTGGAACAGATTTTCTCACTTATATTCAATTCAAAAATACTTTATTAATCCCAGAGGGAAATTATTAGTTGTAGTAACTCGTTATGCTCATTTCATTAAGAGATGTTCTAGATGCTGATGCTGTAGACAGGAAGGATCTCTGGTAAAGGTCCATCCCACAGTGGATCCTGAGAAACTGGCTGCAGATGCCGTCTGATCCGTCCACCCAGACTCGGCTGGTCTCTCGGTTCCTCCCGGATGTAGGACCGCCTGAATGCTGGGCAGAACTCCTCCCAGAGCGATGGCCTCTCCTCCCAGCAGTCTATATCTATATCTATATTGTACTGGATGTGTCGCAGTGATGTTTTGATATGATTTGAGGGTGCGTGCACGTCTTGCATCCGCTCTAAAAATGTCACAATGGACTCTTAATCTTTTTTTTTCTTAAAGACATTTCTTTTCTTTGTTTTGAAGTTTGTCAGTGTATGAGTTGTTTTAAGTTTAAAATCTACTGTCCGGACCTGAAAGGCGAAATGCAGCAAACGTAAAGTGTAAATGTTCCCTCCACTGCAGGCTGGTGTCATCGTCTCCTCCCAGAATGACCGATCCGGCTGTGAGGAGGGTGGTCAGTGATATAATTCGCTCTCCAGAAGACAAGCGGGTTTATAGAGGCCTGGAGTTCACCAACGGCCTGAAGGCCATGCTCATCAGCGACCCGACTACAGACAAGTCCTCTGCTGCCTTGGATGTCCACATAGGTAAAGGGTTTGCTTTCTTGGAAGGAAGCGAGGAGCAGGTTCCCCTCCGTCATAAAAAATACAACAATTATACACTTTATAATAAGACATGTCATTACGTGTTATTGGATTAAATAATGCCATATCCAGAGAGGCTTCATGAGTGTTTTCCCTCTGGGCCTGGACTCTGCAGCTTCATGCCGATTGTGCGGCTCGTCCATCAATCAGCCCGTTGTGTGTCAGGTCCAGTCTTACTTTGAAAAATCGAGACAGAGCGGGTCCACGAAAAACGAACTGCAAATTAGCGAGGGACTGCTGTACTTTGATCCAAATAAATGATTAGACTGAACAAAAATAGTTGGCCAGAGTGTTGAATATTTGTGTCTTACTGGATTTCTTCTACTAAAGAGAACTTCTCTTAACTTGAAGGTTTTATCAGCAGAAGACGACGTTTAGAAATCAGGGCAGCAGACGGCCCATGTGTAACACCATTTATTTATTTTACAAAATACAAGCATTCTTTAATTTAAATGAACATTTAGCAGGTCTTAGAAGAACTTGCACACTTGATAAATAATAGATAAAAAGCGTTTTTACTTGAAGCTAAGTTGTGAGCTGCAGTAATCCGGTTGTAGCTGCTGCATCTTTATTTTCCTACGTTGTCATCTGTTAACTGCTCAGGTGCGTTTTTACCAATAGTGGCCAAAATCAGCTGATTAGATGGTTTCTCTGCAATCAAAAGAAAGCCTGTCCTTTTTATTCTTTCTGATAATTTGTCATGTTTTTGTTGATCTCTTTAATACAGATGTGAATAAATGTGTTGTTCTGGATCGGGATGGTTTTCTCTGCTTTTCTACCATCCGTCCGTCTCAATAACCTGGGGTTGCAATTCCTCTTGCAGCCACGCTATGGGAGGTTGGCCGTAGTCCAATAACCCTGACACATTTGAGTCATTTTAGCAGCTCGGAGATTATCTTGTATCATTTAATATCTACCATCTTCTTCTTGACTCTTTGCTTTCTCGACCATTAACCTGTGAATGTTGCACCGATTCTGACCGAACTGTTGTAAACTCTGACGTTTGTGTGTCCGTTTCTCCTGCGTTCTCAGGTTCGCTGTCGGACCCAGAGAACATCTCAGGCCTGGCGCACTTTTGTGAGCACATGTTGTTCCTGGGAACAGAAAAGTACCCCAAGGAGAACGAGTACAGCCAGTTCCTCAGCGAGCACGCAGGAAGCTCCAACGCCTTCACAAGCGGCGAGCACACCAACTACTACTTCGACGTATCCCATGAGCACTTGCAAGGAGCTCTTGATAGGTACTCTTATTAGAATTATTTAACCTCGTGCTACGCAAGGAGTGATCTTTGAGACGCTCTATTTTCTGTGTTTGTCTCAACAAATCTTCATCGTGCTCCACGTTCATGTCTGCACAGCTGATCACTCTTTGTGCTGCTGCTGTTCACTCAAATCCAGACGGCTGCCGCCCCTCTTTAGTTACCAGACAGTGTGTCACCGTAGGGTTCTTTATTCTCGCTGGTGTGGTCTGTACCCCCGCCCCCTGTAAGGTTGGAGACCTCAGGCTCAACAGCAGCTGTGTTTGTTTGGACGGGGCAGGAGGTCTGAGCTGAACCTGCCAGGATAAACTTACCTGATGAATGACGGCTCAGAGCGCACCTGTTTGTGTCGCACACGCCGATTGTTCCCGTGTGCCGGTGATCTGTGAAGGCCCTCTGGACTCCAGTGGCAGGAAAGGACAGAGCAGAGGAACATTAATTATTGACGATTGTTCCACTGAAACGTCGTCGGAAAGGATCGAGTGCGTCTCTGTTTTCCCCCATGCTGTGCTTGCATCACGATAAAACAAACGTTAGCGCTGAAAAGCACTTCTACAAAGTGTCCTGATACATGCTCAATACTTCTACAGAGGCTCGTGGTGATGGTGGCTTTGAACCTGCTCGTTGTTGAATTAAGACGTGGGCGCTGGTTTGCTTTGTAGTTCCTCCTTTGCATGTCCGTTGTCCAGACCTGGAGCTCATGCAAATGTGTGCTGTGTCCCAGTGAATGTTCAACCGACTGTGCCGTCATTATTTCTGTAGGTTCGCCCAGTTCTTCCTGTGCCCTCTGTTCGACGAGAGCTGTAAGGACCGCGAGGTCAACGCCGTGGACTCGGAGCATGAAAAGAACCTGATGAACGACGCCTGGAGGCTTTTTCAGCTCGAGAAGGCCACGGGCAACCCAAACCACCCCTTCAGTAAATTTGGAACAGGTAGAAACCCTGACCCGCTGATCGCAGGTCTCAGGTGTGTGGTTCTGGCCGGTTCTGTTCCACTCAAGTGAACTGGACAACGGTCCGTGCTGAGCTGCAACTTTAAGGCAATAATGCACAAAAGTAAAGCAGCTAGTTAATAAAATTCCCTGTTTAGACTTTAGATTAGCTGTTTTTAACGTGTGTATTAAAGTTTGAACATGTTTTCAGTAATGCTTTTAAAAAATGTTTTCACACGTCCGAACAGAACCAGACTCACCACACCTCAGTTAAAAACAGTTCTCGCAGCATTTGTATGAATTGCTTTGTGTTAGTATCTCAAGAAATATAAACAACAAGAGTCACATGTTTTATTCTTCATAATAAAAATGGATGTAAAAGTTATTCTAAGGTAAAGAAATGAACTCCAGAACCACCACCTGATGGCACACTGGAGTTGTGTAATCTCTTCTAAGGACTCGTTTTAAAACTTTCTCTTTTACGTCTAATTCATAAACTCGTTCACACTTTTCTTCTTCTGTCCTCTTTCTGTTCTTTGTTCTCTGTCCTTCTCTTTCTGTTCTTTGCTC